GAACAGCCAGACCTCAAAGTTCTCACCCAGAATCAATGTCCAGTTCAAGACAATTAATAGCTAGAAACCAAAATAAGGACACTGAAGTAGGTAATCGGCAACAGAAGAACATAGGAGAAGATTTGAATAGTTCAGCGCAAGTCGATGTGAACGGATGCATTAAGGTGCCCTGCCCAAAGGGTGGTAAGAAGACAGACCAGGAGTGTTTCGAAACTAATGAGATGCATTACTGTTATTGCAACGCAATCAAATGCGGAACTCAACAACCGAGCAAAGGATGCCATTGTGCGAATTTCGATAGCGACGAGCCGAGCGGAGAGCAAAATGCGAACGTAAATGAAAGAATGATCGAAGAGGAACGCTCAAGGACCAATTGCAGTGGAGTAGTATCAGCTCGAGGTTCTGAAACAGAAATGTCTTGCTCAAGGCAACCAGGTGCTGACAGTCCTAAGCAAGAATCTAAATCACTGACAAATAAATCGGTGTCCATTTCCAACGCCGCACCTAATTCGGTCCAGTTTACGGGTTGCAAGTGTGAGGTGTGTGGCCCACCGAATCAGCCATGGTGCATGTTTGGCAATCCACAGTGGTCAAATAACTGGAGGTGTTGCAATGGGCAAAGGATATGCAACTGCTATTGCCAATGTTGCTTAAGGGCACTCAATAATCAGAATTCTAGACGCCCTAATTCAGCAGCGACTTGGGAGGAAGAAGATGCACAGGTAGAACAGCTCAAAGGACCGTTGGGATCGAGTCCTGGATCAAGCTCAAGGTCTGCAGCGAACACGGTTAGGAGCCTCGATTCGAGATCAGTCTCGAAAACGGACTCCAAACTGTGTTCGACACAGGGCTCCGGATTGGTCTCGGACTCGAAATCATACCAAGTCCCAGGGAAAAGCTCTTCTAGATTCACGGATAAGAGCGCCACAAAACTAGATAGAAAACAGGTTATTTCGACCGGATCGGCAGAGGAATGTCATTCGATCTGCCCCAATTGCGGCATTAATATTAATGCGTTTATACAGAATTCCAAAACCAACAAGAATGGATGTCAGCCGCCAGTGCAGTCGAATCCATCCAAACAGCCAGGGAAAGGGAAATCATTCGAAAATAATGACAGGAGAAAGGAAAGCGGAACCAAGCCTCATTGCAAATGTGCCACATGCACGAGGGAGTGCAAACGGTGCAAGATATTACCAGCTGAGGGCAAAAAGAGCGAACCATTGGTAAATCTCGTCGTGAGTGACAAATGCAATATACAACAGTTAATTGAGATACTGAATGAGACCAGCGCAAAGCTGGAGGAACAGCAGAATTTGGTGAACCAATGTGTTGGGAAACCGGCAACAGCCGAAACAAATCCAGATGTATGCAATTTCGATGGTAACATTGCAAATAGCAATTGGACTTCGAGCAATCCGAATAACATGGATAAGCATCAGATGATGGGGAATCATAATACGCAGGCAAATTGGAGTCAGAACAATCCCAATGTGAATTATAATTCTCCACCCCCTAATGCATATCCACAATACGATCCACGAATTTCGCAAGGTTACCAAGGTCCAAACGCTGGTACTGTTCCGAATTCCGTGAGAATTCTCACACAAACCGAATGGGATTATCCCGATCCAGCTGCTGGAGCATATCAGCCTAACGCTTCGTTCAGAGGTGAATGCACTTGCTATCCAACATTAAATAATTATATTCGTAGGTGCAGTGGCTCTGCTTTTCCAAACTGTACAGGTGACAGTGCACAGACCAGTCCAGTCGAAAAACAAGCAGTTCTGCAGAAGAATTTACACTCAAAATCCTTCTTAGAACTTCTTGATCTGACACTGGCTGTAAAAGAGAGAGGGGCCTTGCAGAAGGACAATGTTGTTGAACCCATGCAGAGTATACAGATATCTAATGATAAGGAAAGGACTCCTAAGGGACTCACAGTTCATACCGATACCAATGGCGAAAAATCAGATCGGGTTCATAAAGATATCAATCCAACTCAACCTCCATTTTATCTAAATGAAGTATTCAATAATCCGTCAATAGGGAAATTCAAGGATAAGCGAGAATATGAGAATAGAAAAAATGTTGAATGCAATTTCTATAAAATCGATGATAGAGGCAATCGATCATGTCAACGGAAAAGGTTTTCAGATATAGAACACCCAGGCCCGCCTCGGCGTAAGGTAGAAGCTCTTCATCAAAGTCAAGAGAAAGCTCTAAGAAAAAAATTACTACGAAAACAATTTGACCCAGTGCAAAACACATCTGATTCGGATTACTTTAGAGGAGCTAATTATACGCCAGAAATTAGAATATACGATTTAAGAGAACGAGATGTCAGAGAGAGGAAACGGTCTGGATTTGATCAAATGAAACTAAGTGAAAGTTCACCGAAGTCGTATGGATTCGACTCTTGTAGACGAGTTTCAACAAGCTCAGAAATTAAATTAATGGAATGCGAACCCCTTTACAATGATAAGGCAATGCAATCGAAAACATCATATATTGAATCGCATTGTAGACGTCGACTTCTAAGAAATCCAGAATCTTTACGATGCAGGCAAAAAAGTTATTCAAGATTCCACAATCTCGCTGCAAGGCGTTCGAAATACAGGAATCTTTTACGCAAACGAGGAAAGGATGACAACGGAAACTCAAATCACTGCATGAGGAGCGAAACAAGATCTAAGATGATTCTATCAAGGAACAAAATAAAGCATAATGCGTTTGGAGAAAGTCTAACGAAGTCCAACTCAAGAAGCAGTTTTCCATTTAGGAACAATCAAATAATAGTAAATAAAGTCGTTCCTCCAGCAAAAGAATTAAATGAATCCAAAACAAATTTTACAAAGAGATCAAAAGTTGAAACGAAAGAGAACACATATTTTGAGTATTCAGATTATTCGCAATTGGATGATGCAGAATCTAAGAGCTTGAGATCGAAAAATCGACCCTTTCTTATCAGAAGAATGACAGAAGAAAGAAGAGTAAGCGAAAGACCAAGTTATGCGGAATCAAGAAGCAGAGTATTTCCGAATAAATTGCTAGAAACAACGAGAGAAAGAAATGCCATTAAGGCCGAAAGTGAAAGATCAAATTCTTCGGTATTAAGAAAAATGGAATCAAGAAACAGACTTAATCCATTCAGGAAAAAATTAGAGGAAAGGAATTCAGATCAGTCGGAATTTAAAAGTTTTGAAGAAAAGCGCCAAATTTTTGCTAAAGAAGGACAAGTTAAAGTTAAGACATATAAATCAGTAATAGGTAACTTAGATTCAGGTAAATCTGTTACATCCTACAGCCACAAAAGAGAAAAGAAAACCAAATCTGAAAGCTTAGATTTGAAAACCATATCTGTTCAGCCAAACTCAGTGATAAGTAAAACAAAGCGTGATAAGTTTGAGCTAGCTGAAATAAAAGCAGTTAAAGATCGATTGAAATCTATACACGAGTCGCATTTTTCAGCTCCTCTTCGCCAGGAAAAATCCCTTAAGAAATCTGCGCCCATTCCTCCACCTAAACCAGCCAAGAAAGAGGCCTCTAAGCCAAGTGGTGCCGTTTCTGCTTCTAACCACAAGCAATATCGAAAAGTTCGAAGTTTGCAACAAAATCATTCTAATGGCGATGATATTAAAGTTCTTTACGATTCAAGCTCTAAATTTTCGAGGCACAGCTGTGGAGATGGAGATTCAAACACCGATTGCGAACCAGATACCAAGCCCAGAACAAGTCAAAATAATTTCTTTTCCATGTTATTAACTCGAGACAAACTTACGGACTCTAAGCGATATTCCTGATGATTAACTCAGACAAATTTATTAAGTCAACTCAAAAATTTTCAAAAATTCGCTTCGATAGTAAATTAAATTAATATTGTAACAAAATACGTCTGCGACTGTTTATTAACACTGCTTAGATATGAATATCGCCAGTCGATTAGTTACCAGCTGTTTCGATACCTGTGGCGGTCGTTCGATAAAATATTATCGACAACTCTGCATAACATCAACAATTGCACCTCGTCGTAATTGTTGAAAAATGTTAAAATTCTTAAATAAAACGCGACAGTTGCTGTATCCAAATGTGCGCAATTTATCGCATACAGTGACAGCTTGCCAGAGTAATGCAGCAACTGAAATCACATCGACGGCCGGTAAGGAAACACTTGCTTCTAAGCCGGCTCTAATACTGCCCCAGAATTATGCGGAACATGCGCCCGTTAGCCGAAGCGCTGCACGCCAGGCGTGGATAGAAAATGTGGATGCAGTAGCTGAGAGAAAAATAGGCCTTATGGAACTGCATCCGGATGTGTTTGCTGCACAGCCGCGCGTCGATGTCATCCAGGAGAATATTGAGTGGCAGCGCAAGTATCGTTATGTAAGCATGGCACATACCAAAACACGCGCTGAGGTGCGGGGAGGCGGACGCAAACCCTGGCCACAGAAAGGCATGGGTCGTGCACGTCATGGCTCGATACGTTCGCCACTCTTCAAAGGCGGCGGCGTCATCCACGGTCCACGTTCACCGACTACCCATTTCTATATGTTGCCCTTCTACAAGCGAGTGATGGGACTCACATCAACGTTGAGCGTCAAATTGGCGCAGGATGATTTGCACATCATTGAAGATGTTGAGATTCCCACGAAGGATGCGCAGTTTATTAGAGATTTGATTAAGGAGCGTAATTGGGGACCCTCTGTGCTGATTGTGGACAAGTAACTAAACTCCACTTGCGCTTAAAACTCCTCTATTCAAATCTTGATTTCTATTTTAGGCACGATGTATTTCCGGAGAATATTTGCTATGCTACAGACTCAATAGGCTATGTGAATCTTATGCCCGCCTATGGCCTGAACGTCTATTCCATGCTAAAGCATGATACATTGGTGTTGACTGTGGAGGCCGTTAAGCATTTGGAAGAGCGTTTGCTTTATCAGCTGCATCGAAATGATGGAGCCAGCAAGCAAACCAAATTGAAGCTCGATCAAGTGTAAATTAAGGCATTTTATAATTTAATTGTATTTACTTGTATATGATTTAATACAAATGAAGTTTGTTATATCTACTGCTTCACTTGTTGCACAGCCTGGGAATTGCTTCTAAATGCAGTTTGCAAGGGATCTTTATCCTTTTCTGAAACAATGACCTCACACTTTTCTTGAAGTCTCTCCTTTAGTATGCACTGAAATTCTCGCAGGAAACCGCGCTCCGAATTGCTGTGATTGCAAAGCAGAACTGTCGTCCCATTGTGGTTAAAGTCCAGCAATTCGTGATGCGACATCTCGCCAGTTATGACCAGATCCGCTTGAATGCCTTTTAAGACTGACCCACCGGATCCCGCGCATATTCCAACGGTATGCACAAAAGTCTTTGGATGATGGTCCACAGCATATGCCACATGCACGCTGTTGTTTATGTGGTCTTGGAGTGCATGTACCACCTGGGAGATGGGCATATTGGTCTCTACAAGACGTCCCGAGCCAGTCCCATCAACTGCGCCCGGCTCTGGAACCAAGGGCTTTATGCCCTTTATATCTACTGCCTTGGCCAGCCAATCGTTGACACCACCCACCACTTTATCCCAGGCCGTGTGTGGACAATACAAAGCCTTGGAGTTGGCTAAACATCCGATGACTATACGCTCCTTCCAGTTGGACATAGTGATCCGTGTCAACGGCCGAAAGATTGGCGGATGATAGCTAATAATGAGATCGACATTCTTCTCAACGGCTTCACCCAACACGGGCTCAGTGAGATCATTGGTTAGCAATATGCGCTCCACATGTTTCTGCAATTACATTCAATGTCAACTTGTTTATTCCTACATTCTTAAATCACTTACATCTGCGCTTGGCTCGATCAGCAGGCCCACGTTGTCCCACTTTTCGGCCAGGGATGCCGGTGCAAACTTTTCCAGCACATTGACCACCTCATTTAGTCTCAGACCCGAGAATGTTGCCATGCTTCTTCTCAGTCTCAACGCGCTACGTAACATTCAACAGACAATCTTCCACAATTACTTCAAGAGCCAACTAAACTAAATTTTTTATAATATTAGCTTTGAGTGCTGGAAAACGATTATAAAAGTCTCAGTGGAAATTCGTAGCACTACAACTTTGGCGGTTGTTTGAAATTACGTTTATAGCTAAAATTGACTAAAATTACTAACCAGTGCTAAAATTCAGCGAGAATTGTGCTTTTATAATAATAACATTTAGAAATATTTTGTTAATGTTTAAGCATAAAAATATTTAAGGACTGCCCAAAAATATAAATAAAAACATTTTTAAAAACTTTAAAAACTTGTTGGAGTTTCTGTTTAATAGCACCTCTTCGAGTGTGCCTGTTTGAAATCCATTTGAAGTCACGTGATTTCAATTAAACGCTCATTACTTTTATCTGGGTTATACCGCTGTTATTGCGGCTCTTAATATGTCTAGCAATTAAATAAAATTATTCCAAGTATTGTTACATCATTAAATGCGTACGCTATATGTTTATAGACGTATAGATATCGGTGTTTTTATACCCTATGACTTATTATATGTATATCTTAGTACCCACACGAGTCCTCCATCTATACACATACATCCAACTAATACACGACCTGTAACTGGTTTTGATGAGATTTGTAACTAGAAGTAAGAAGCATCAGATATCTATTTTTTAAGGCAACGGAGTAAAGAATATATATTAGTCGAGCACTCCCAACTTTAGCTCTATAGTCAATTCCCGCAACTTGGGTTTTGTGAAGCTTTCGTTCTTCCGATCCCGCATTTCAATTTGGTAAAACATATTTGAAGTGTTTAAATGGTGATTTTCAGTTTTTTATTATTTTTGTGAACGCGTCACTAAGTGAAGAAAATCCCAAGTGACGAATCTGAAAGCAGATAAGAAAAGACGCTAGCAACAAAGCACACAAGAGTAACAAAAAATAAACCCGGTTTTAAAAAACCAAAAATGTAAATTACACGGACACAAAAGATCAATGTCCTTTAGTACTTAAGTCAT